CCCTATAGTTCAGATAGCTATATATATTATCTGCAGTGTTATGATCTAATGTAAAAAATGATCATGCTGATCTAAGAATCACGAACTAAATATATTGACCTCAAAAGGAACCATATAACCACGTTGCTCAAGTTTGGTGTTGATTTGTTTTTAATTTTGAGAAAAAAAACTGGATTCTCTGAATAGTTATTTGGGATGACCCCCCCCCCCCCCCCCCTGAGCTGAGGAAGATCTGATCTGGCCACCCCTGATCTGAGGAAGAGCTGAGCTGGTCACCCTGATCTGAGGAAGATGTAGCTACCCTGATCTGAGGAAGATCTGGCCACCCTGATCCGAGGAAGATCATACATTATCTAAGAGAACATTAACGATGAGATTTGCTTGTTAATGGTTCGAGAAAGGTATTTCCTCCCTAGAATGAGGACGACCTGGTCACCCTAGTATGAGGACGACCTGATCACCCTAGTATGAGGACGACCTGACCACCCTAGTATGAGGACGACCTGACCACCCTAGTATGAGGACGACCTGATCACCCTAGTATGAGGACGACCTGACCACCCTAGTATGAGGACGACCTGATCACCCTAGTATGAGGACGACCTGATCACCCTAGAACGAGGACGACCTGATCACCCTAGTATGAGGACGACCTGATCACCCTAGTATGAGGACGACCTGATCACCCTAGTATGAGGACGACCTGACCACCCTAGTATGAGGATGACCTGATCACTCTAGTATGAGGACGACCTGATCACCCTAGAATGAGGACGACTTGATCACCCTAGTATGAGGACGACCTGACCACCCTAGTATGAGGACGACCTGACCACCCTAGTATGAGGACGACCTGACCACCCTAGTATGAAGACGACCTGATCACCCTAGTATGAGGACGACCTGACCACCCTAGTATGAGGACGACCTGACCACCCTAGTATGAGGACGACCTGACCACCCTAGTATGAGGACGACCTGACCACCCTAGTATTAGGACGACCTGACCACCCTAGGACGACCTGATCACCCTAGTATGAAGACGACCTGATCACCCTAGTATGAGGACGACTTGATCACCCTAGTATAAGGATCGCCTGACACACTATATATCAACTTTCTATAGGCTGCTATAGGTCTGGTTCAACACGATAGAGCCAGCGAGAAACATATATATAAACTTAGTATATATATTTTTGAACACGATGATCGTATACCAAACTGACCATTATATTCACTGTATATAAATATACCTGTGCACATACACAGGTATATTTATGTACAGAAAATTAGAAAGTGGGAATACATTTCTTTCGGTGAAAATGTTGTCGTTGTAAATCAAACTGTTTTTTGTTTTTCTTGAGCTGCATCGTAGGGGAGTTCTTCATTAAAGAAAATTATTCAAAATGTGCCACATTTGTATGTTTTGTCATACGTGAATCATACGTGATTAGGATTCACGTATTTTGTCAATACGTGAATCCTAATCCGTCAAACGAGCTATTGGCCATGTTTAACTTACCCATCCGTCTGAACACTCAAACTGTCAACCAGGAACACATTAACAATCGTCTAAGCACACACAGTGTCGACCTGAGGAGCGTGCAAGGCTCGTCCACCCCCCCCCCCACACACACACACACAATGGTCTCTAATACTTAGATAATCACTAAACTCAACTAAGTGTAAATGTAGAGGTTAAAGGCTTATATCCTACTCTCCAATGTCTATATCTCTTTCCAGTCACTGTCTCTGAGTACCTGCCGGTACTGGATGAGCGGACAGAACACTGGACGCGTGATCCTGTGGTCCCGGGTTCGATCCCGGGCGCCGGCGAGAAACGACGGACAGAGTTTCTTTCACTCCGATGGCTCTGTTACCTAGCAGTAAATAGGTACCTGGGAGTTAGTCAGCTGTCACGGGCTGCTTCCTGGGGGTGGAGGCCTGGTCGAGGACCGAGCCGCGGGGACACTAAAGCCCCGAAATCATCTCAAGATAACCTGTGTCCTGTCTGTCTGTCTCTGTCTGTCTGTCTCTCTCTCTCTCTCTGTCTCTGTCTGTCTGTCTGTCTGTCTCTCTCTCTCTCTCTCTCTCTCTCTCTCTCTCTCTCTCTCTCTCTCTCTCTCTCTCTCTCTCTCTCTCTCTCTCTCTCTCTACTTCCCCCCCCCTCCTCCTGTCATTCTCCAGCACGCTGTTCATCCCTTACCGTCTCACTACACCCATCTCCTCCTACTTTTCAATCTGGGCCTCAAGACCAGGCCGGCTGGTCACGGGATAACATCTGACGTCTCCCACAATTCCGTCTGTGTAAAATGTTACTCCGGCGAGACTGATGGACGGGCCGAGTCACGACCCATCTGTAGGGTATATGTTCTGGGTCTAAGATGGATCCTTGTATGTTACCCGTGTGTGTGTTCTCTGTGCGTTGTGTACAATTTTATATAGATTCATTTACGTAAAGCTTGAATTGTCCCCCCCAAGCAATGTTACGGCAGTTGATAAGGCTGTTGATGGTGGAGTGGTATCAGTACTGGACAGCCAGTATTTTGCCATTTAACTCTGAATACGTAAGAGTGTTCGCTTCTCCTACCACCCCCCTTTTTTTTTGGTGTACACTTTATTTTGCAAGGTTATACAGTTACATATCTGATTTTATACAAAAAATTAACATTAAGAGGACACAAAAAAAAGTTCGCTTCCTAGAGGCTGTAGATTTCCTCGAACTCTTCCGACGCCGGGCAGGAACCGAGGATGCAGCGGGCATTTCCCCTCTGGATCGCGACACTGAGGCGCTGAAAGAGAAAAACTTGCTGCTCTAGGGTCTCTTGTGGTGCAATGAGCTTGGAACCAAGATCCTTAAGAAACCTTCTTGCACTCTCTCCCCATGGGCCTAAGGTCTCAGACCCTATTGGAACGAAGTTGTACCGATGATCTAATTGCCTGTACTTGGCTGACTTGTCTCTTTCTCTGCGTGTCGCCGCGGCTCCTGCTGTGCCGGCAGAGAGGTTGATGTATGTGGTTGCCAGGGTGGATACACAAGTATAGTCCCATGCCAACTGTCTGCCACCCTTCCGCGGTCGCAGTGTGATTCCGTCTGGTCGGCCGGCAAAGCTAACAGAGTCACGATTCAGTAGGTTGCGGGGCTCTCTCTCCGCTGGACACTGAGCAGAGGCAAGGCTTCTTTTAATGATGTCATTGACTTCGTCGTGTCTTGTGTGCCAACCACCAGATTTTCCACAGTGCAGGCCATGCAATCCATATTCGTCAGCATCAGCCTCGCCGCAAATACACCTATGAACAGTGTGGATAGGGGCAGCAAGACGGAGAGCGACTGCAATACGGAGCTCCTGCAGATCAAGACGTGTGCCTCTCGCAGACATAGGGACTGCCAAAAGGAAGTCCCCTGCATGGGGAGCCTGCACAGCTGTGAGGCGTGCACGATCACTGGGGGTTGTTGCTGCCTCCAGCAAAGCTGTGACTTCTTTGTCTACAATGGGGCTGTCCCAACTGGATTGTTTCTTGGCTTTCGGCATGGCTGGTCTGAGTGCTGGGTCTGCCATGGCACTCCATTTCGTGTCGCATTCCGTGTAGTGGAGGTCCTGTATCCCCGCTACATCACTCAGGGTGTCAGGTAGAATTTCCTTAACCAGGTCATCTGATGCTGAGGAGGAAGACAGGAAGGCTAGGACAGCAATTTGGGGGGCGGTGCGGACACCCAAGCCATCGAGCCTGACAGGAAGAGTTGCTTGTTTCCACTGGCATTCTTTGAGGGAGAGGTTAACAACTTTTTCCAGCATGGTCTTCATTAAGAGGTCATACTCTTCA